GCTGTAATGTTTGTGACTCCTTTGTTTCTTTTGTTTTGCCCCAGACAACTTGTTGTCAGGAGCTAACGTTAGCACTGACCGTCAACTGGATGTAAATCTACGGCAAACCAGGAGTGACACACAACTTGGAAACGCACAGCTTCATTGCACACAACACCAATGGGGAAAATCGATCTCATGACTTATTTGATTTTTAACCCAGGCCTAGTCACAACAGCAGCGTAACGGCTCCGCACGCTCAAAGGCTACATTCACACTGCAGGCAAATGCAACACAAATCCTATTTTTTTATGACAGTCTGAACGCAACAAATCCGATTTTTTCAAATCTGACCCAAGCCGTTTAAGTGTGTGGTTTTAAATTGGAGTGACTACAGTGTGAACACTCATCTCACATTCCATCTGACTTTTTATCACGCCGTTTAAATCTCCATGTGTTTACAGCTCCAAAACACAAGTCCAGCTTTTTGTCTTTTTACTTTTAATTTTCCATGCAGATAGTAACGTCCAGCCTGGGTCGAGGAGCGTATCGATCCTAAAGTTGCTCAGTTATTTCCAGCTCGTTATTTCGTTCAAAAATAAAAAGCTTCACCGGAGCATCCAGTCAGAGGCAGGTTCAGATATAAACACTGAACTAAACAAGCAGGTCAGATAACTGTAATCGGCTCTGATTAAATAACTTCAGATTCAACGTGCTAAAAGTAGCATCCATGCTAACTCTGTAAACAAACAGCTGTCTGAATGAGACGGCATGTCTTTACTGCGCATGCATCACATCAGTACTGTGTAGCGTTCACACTGGAGTCTGATGGAGGCTGTATTTAAAATGTGATGAGCATTAAGACCTGCAGTGTGAACAGAGACAAAGTGTTTCCCCTCAGACCCACCTGGGGGTTGACGTCCAGGATGCAGGTCCGGCTGGTCGCCACCACCTCGTGGATGGAGTCGATCTTGGTGCCGTAGAGGTTCCCGTCGTACTCGCCGTGCTCCAGGTATCGGCTCTCCTTGACGTCCCTCTCCATCTCTTCTCGTGTCACGAAACAGTAGTTCTGGCCGTCCTTCTCCTCTTCTCTGGGACGGCGGGACGTAACTGGAGTGATAAACGTCAATGAGACACGTCGTCGAGGAACAACGTCGGATATTTCCCCCGYGTCGTGCACTCACATGGGACGGTGGTTCCGTATCTCAGAGGGTTCATGACGATGAGTCGGTTCTTCAGGCTCCTCCTGCCGACTCCCTGGGCTCCGATCAGAACCAGCGTTTTCCTCTGAAACGGGGGCATCCTGGCTACTTCCTCGTAGATCTGCAGCTCATAACGATCAAACTCTGCTGGAGGCAACACACAGCTGGATGAGAACGTTTCATCGTTACAAAACACCAGATAATAATTCAACACAAACATGGAGGCACACCTGCGTTTTTAGCTGTGAGGTACATCATTTTTTTCTTCTTCTTCTTCGCTGTCAGCGACCCACAGAGCATACCTGAGACAAACAACATGTCAGAACATCACRGTGCCAGAGGGCTTCAGCTCCTTCTGAGTGGAAAGAAACCATCAGGGACTGGTTTGTTGTGCTGACCTGAATCAACAGCGTCCCAGTCTCTCCTCACAAAAGCTTTCCTCTTCTCCTCCAAGAACTGACTGGGAAYGAGGCCAGTGGCTCCACCAACGACTTTACGTGCCTTTATGGAGAATAAAGCAGTTAAACAACTTTAAACCAACAGATTCTTCTACCTTATCGACAGGCTGAAGCACTCTTTGGCTTTGTTCATATGATAAAACTAAACATGCATCACATCTGAGCTCCAATAAAGAGCAGATGGAAAAGAATTCTCACTGAGTAGRATTTTATATTACCACGGAGAACTAGGGCCATACAAGAGTTTTATTTTATTTTTTTAAATTATGAGAATAAAGGTGTAATATTACGAGAATAAAGCCGTAATATTATGAGAATAAAGTTGTAATATGAGATTAAAGTCATAATATAAGAATAAAGTTGTAATATTACAAGATTGAAGTCGGAATGTTATGAGATTAAAGTTACTAGACTACTTTCCATGTTGGCCTTAGCATGTTATTTCTCTGTTCTACTAAAAGTAGTTTTAGACACGTGAATGCATCTAATTACTTAAAAATTGTTGGTTTATAATATTTTTAGAGAGAGAGAGAGCTCCTGAGCTAAAACCATTAGCTCATGTTTATCAAATAATATCTAATGTTACAACTAGTCAGAGTTCTCTTTAAAAGAAAAAAAAGTTTCTGGATTCTCAGTTTCTAAACGACACGTCTCACAGCCACCAGCTTCTACATGCAGCTTCTGTACTAAACGTGAACCGGGCCTTTATTTTCAGGTTCCTCCTGACGGCTCACCTGCCACCAGTTGGGGTCCTCCTTGTTGACGACATGAAGTATGTCTCCTTTGGAGAAGGCCAGCCCCGCCTCTTTACAGGGGATCAGGTTGTCAGAGGCAGGATTGTAGCTGAAGTATGGCTTCAAATAAACCTGGAATTTAAAAAAGRTATTAACAAAGCAAAATAAAATTACACGAGTCACAAATAAATTCACAAGACATAAAAAATGATGAAAAACAAAAGAGYCAAAAACTGTTTCTGAGCTAAAAGGATCTAATAAGACTCTGTTAATGTCAAACAACTCAGCTAGAATTTAATATTTGAGGAAGTGTACACAAATACAGATATTTTTAGAAAACTGTAAAAGGTCCACAAGATTAAATTTAGAGTTCAAATGCCTGGAACTGAAAATATGGATGGAGGACAACAGAGCTGCTTCATGGAAGAACCTCAGCTAAGCCTGTTAGCTTTAGCCCCGACGCTATATTGCCTTGTAAGTATTAGCTCGGCGCTAGCGCGACAAACAAGCTAAACTGAGG